ACATTCAAATGAACCGTTTTGCTATTTGTAAATGTGGCTTCTTCTTTTTTCTTGTTGTTGTTCAACGTCGTGTCGTCATCATCCCGTAACAGAAAGTTCCATAATTGCCTGCCATTGTTTAAAGTAATTGCCAGGCAGACTGCCCGGTTATATGGTCGAATGGTGGCTACCTAGCTGGACAGTAAGTTTGTCGTTTTGTCGCAGATATATAAATGTTTTCCTAGAAATACCATTAAAAAGTGCAATAATAACTTTTGTATTTTTGTTGTAGTATTTGTTGTTGTTGTGGTGGTGGTGCAACAGTTATTATTGGTAGCACAGGACGGCCTAAGAACTATGAAAGGAAGAAGAATGACAAATTCATTATTTTTTAATTGAATGTTCCAAGCCATTTATGTTTAGAAGGACATTTGTGGTCAGGTGAATAATAGATATTAGAGAAGTTCCTTTTAGGATTTATGTAGATGGCATAAGTAGTGCGCACCTGTGTGTCTTCTAAATGCGCTACATAAGCAGTTTAAAAAAATAAAAAAATGACATGGATTCGGAGACAATGTTTTGGCAGATATGTGAGAAATAACATGGAAAATCTTTTATCTATTGTCTAGAACCTTAAAAATTACAGTACTTGTCCGTGGGTATGCAAAATTATTGACTGGGAAGACATAATTCGGAAAATGCACAGTTTTCATGATATCAGATTTTTTGGTGTAAATGTAATCTATTGACCGATATGACAGCTATCCTGACTGAAAGATTTTATATATGTTTATTAATAAAAGAGTAAAGGGAATAACTGGCTTAACGATTCATTAATGCCCAGACGAAACGACTGAAGCTAGAATTTAGAAATTTTGTGTGGGGGTCAATCTTAGTTCGAAGGTGACAGAGTACTAAATTTTGTACCATTTACATTTGGAGAACCAGTGGAGAACTCTTAAATTTGGAATGAGAATCGCTGATGGAGTGTAGGATAGATGTATTTTTTGGAAATTTGAACTATAAATATCCGAAAAGTACAAAATTTCGGGAATGTAGGAAATTTTGGAAACTCCCACTAATGTGTACAATATTTGGTACAATTTGGATTTGGGTAAACAGATAAGGCTGGAATCTGAAAACGGGAAATAAGATTTCATCGTATGTAGTTATGGAAATTTGTACTTATGTGTACTAAATGTTACTAAATTTGATACAATTTGGATTTAGGTGAACCTATAGAATTCGAATTATGAAATTTGTAATTTTTGAAATTTGATTTTTGGGTACTGAATAGTACAGATTTGATATAATTTGGATTTTGGTGAGCCGGTAAAACTGAAATTCTTTAATTTGAAATTACTATTACTGTTGGATTGAGGCAAGTGAGAAGTTTTGGAAATTCATTAATATGTGTACTAAATGGTACTAAATTTGGTACAATTTTAATTTTGGGTTAACCGATAGAGCTGGAATCCTGAAATTTAGAATGCTCACTGTTGAGGGGTGTAGGATTGGGGTATGGATGTTGGGATGGGGATGGGATTCAGCGCCTGGTCCGTCAATACTGTTTCAGTTTAAGTTATAAAATTATTGAAATTATTTTTTCAAGTTAAGAAATCAGTTTTAGAGTCTGGTAAACTCTATCTCAAATATTTCAATATCAATCGTAATTTCAACAGGCGGACGGGCAGGGCTTAATCAACATATTATGGGGTCTCCAGTGAATATTTAGAGGTATTGGAAATGGATTTACACATTACGGGTATAAAATTGCTATTCGTCGGCAGGCACGATTTCCGATCGCTGTGACGTCTAAATACAAATATTCCAAAGGGTTATGAAGAGTACATGTCTAGAACTAGTACGAACTAATATTATTGACATTTACAAACTGCCGGAAATATGAAGAAATGGAAAATCGGCACCCGTTCGTTACATCATAAATGGCTAATATCTACAATTTTCATTGAAATTCTTAAGTGACATTTTTAAGAAGTTATAGGTTCGATTTTATGTCTTATTCTGCACCTATTTCAAGAAAACTCGATAATATCATTCTAGTCCCAATTTCATACGTTGTGCAAAATTTCGTGTCAATCGGACAAACATTTACCTAAAATCGAACGAGCTATATCTAAATCTGAACCGATTTTCACGAAACTTATCACACGTCATTCTAGACTCAATTCAGTATGCTATGTCAAATTTCGTGCAAATATATATAAGGCCTTTGGTGTATCATTTACATAAAATCGGCCGAAAACATATATGGGAGCTATATCTAAATATGAACCGATTTTCACGAAACATGGCGGACAACGTTCTAGACTTAATTTAGTACTCTGTGCCAATTTTCGTGCAAATCGAAGGATATATAGGGACATTGGAGCACCATTTACATTAAAACGAAACGAGTTCCACGAAACTTAGCACACATCATTCTAAACACAACAATTCAGTACGCCATGTAAAATTTCGTGCAAATTGAAATATATATATATAGGGACTTTGATGCACCATTTATATAAAATCGGACCTAATATTATATGGGAGCTTCTAGACTAAATTCAGTACGTTATGTTAAGTTTCGTGCAAATATATAGGATATAAAGAGACTTTGGTGCGCTATTTAACTAAAATCGGACGGAAATATATGGGAGCTATATCTAAATTTCAACCTTGGGCCAAATAAATGAGCTGTGCCATATTTTATCCAATTCGAATCAAAAATGCGACCTGTACTTTGTTTACAATTCAAGATGGATAGACGGACGGCAAGGGATTCTATGCATATTCTCAAAAAGCACCATGTATCTATCTCGTTTTCTTTTCCCTGTTACAAACATATGCACAAAGACATAATACCCTGTACCAGAGTGGTGAAGGGTATAAAAAAGGGGGTTATATGGGCACTACTCCTAAAAGGGAGCGAATATTAATACTTTTAGTAGAGAGATTTGTTACCATATACGACTAAAAAATACCAAATTACAGCGAATTCGGTTGAAAAACGAACCCAATAAGAACTCAAGGTACTAAATTACAGCCAACTCAGTCGAAAAATACGCTCAAAATCCTCCAAAATACAAAAAAAGTGGAACTACATTTATATTTTTTGTGGGGAAATTTGCTGCCCAATAAGAACCCAATGTACCAAATTTCAGCGAATTCAGTTGAAAAACGCGCTCAAAAACACCAACATACCGATAATTGGGGTTACCCTTATATGGGAGCTATGTCTAAACGTAGACCGATATAGACCAGCTTCGAACTTGACCGGCCTGCAGACGAAAGACATTCAATGCAAAATTTTGTCGATCTATCTCAATTCGTTTAGAGACTAGAGCGATAACAACACACAGACAGACGGACATTGCTAAATACGCTGATCAAGAAAATATATACTTTATAGGGTCGGAAATGATTATTTCGGCGAGTTACAAACGGAAAAAAATGTATATACCCTCCATTCAATGGTGGAGGGTATAAAAATCGATATAATCAATAAAGTTACCTTGGTTAAATTTTTCACGAAATTACTTGATAATATTATTACACATAATATTCATATTTAGTTGCAGAATTTTTAATTATTTCATATTAAACGCAGAGGAGAACTTACCCCATATATCGAGTAGATTTATGTATAACTGCTACGTCGCGATACGATTATTACGTGTCAATCATTGAAGATCCCTTTATCGTTATGAGCGCTATATTACTTATACTTAAACACTTTATTTAAATACCTTTATGTTAAGATAGAAATAAACATATTTTCACATGATTCCGAAAATGGACTTTGTTCTTTAAAACAATAACATAACTATAATGAATCACAAACCCATTGGACTTCCCCCTAGTTTACTATGCGAAAATCGTGAACGCGAAAAATGTTTGAAAAGATAAAATTCTAATGATAATGTCAAAGACTATATAGCGCGTAACGAGAAAGCATACCACAATAACATTAACTAATATATATTCAAATGAAAAACGAAGTTCCCGCATCCAGTTATGAGTACGAACGCCACAAATATTGTCGTCTTTGTGTTTAAAAACAAAAAACTGAAAATAAAGTGAAAAGAAGTGAGAAATCCTACATTGAAAATTAATTAAAGTGCAAAGCAGTAAAGGAGCAGAAGCAGAAGACCTCCAACATTCCCAAGAAATCAGATTAATTAAAAAACTGGCCAGAGGCGAGAAACACACCAAGCAAAAAAGAAAACTAGAAGCTAAATTGACAATTATTGGCAAAAAATGCAGATATTCGAATGACCCATTGAAAATGTCATCAAGTGACATCAGTCGTTGCCATTGTCGTCATAGGACATTATATTCCTAGGAATTGTCGATAAAAGCAATCGAAATATTTTTGTGGCTACGTTTGTGTAACGTAACCAACCGCCAACAGAGAAATATATCAAACTTAGCTCAAGCGAGAACACCAACATCAAAAAAAAAAGGGAACAACGCCAAGTTACTAAAACTAACCAATCAAACAACCAACCAACCCACAACAACAACAACAAGTTCAATCCAATTGAATTCAAACCAAACCACCACCCCAACAGCAACAACAACAACAAAACTCGATTTTTGAACGAATGATGCCAGCGGAAAACAATAAACTCATAAACAATGGTTATCTCCGAACACCGTACGTCATGAAAAACAATGGCCATGGCAGCGGTCCTGTGAATCGTATTACCGCCATCGATGTGGACGATGATGAGGAGGCCGCGTCGCGCTTTCCCAACGACGACACCACAGCATCACATCATTCCATCACACAGAAGGATGACAACAATGCCTCCGCCATTTCCCCGTTACTGGCGGGTGCCGAAACTAATTCCGATTTGTGCGGAAGCGATGCCAAGCCGCAATGTGCCAATAATGTGGGTCACATCAAGCATCCGACTGTGGTGTTTCTGGGCGGCGATAGTGGCGGCAGTCGCACCGCGTTACAGTGCAATGTGCCCATGTCGTATGCCAGCGCCAATCACACCCATCCGCCGCCACAACACCACTCGCCGCAAAGCGATCTCTTGCTGAAAGAGTCATCGTTGAGGTGTCGACTTTTGGTTTTGGCTGTGGCCTTGACTGTTTTGGGTGCTGCCATCGGAGCAATGGCCATATATTTTGCTGGTAGTTATCGCTGTCAACAACCGACCACAAGCCATAACCTAGATAATAATCAAAACTTCAACAATATCACAGGTGAGTGTTTTAACACATGGACATCCACACGCACACACAAACAAAGTGACATTCACATCCATGAATGCTAATTTGATGTGTTATTTGCTTCAATTTTTGTTTCTGTGTGTGTGTCTATTATTATTGTTGTTTATTATTGCGAAAGTAGTTGCGAGCCATTTTTGAGGTTAATGAAAATCCGTTGAGGACAATGATTAACATTTTCACACGTCTATTTGTTTTGTTTGGTTATTTGGGGCCAGTAGAAATGAGCTATCAATATGCAAAAATTGTGTGATTTTCACAACAAATAGTGAAATGAGATTTCAATACCATTTTCACATAGGCATAGGAAATTTGCTACAATTTTTGGAGTGACTAAAAAATCAGATAATAAACACACATTCAAGCGTGTTTTTTTCGAAAACAAATATAGGCGTGGATTTTTTAAAGAATATTTTTTTCCATCACAAATATAGGCGAGGATTTTTTAAAGAATATTTTTTTCCGCACATATTCAGGCGTGGATTTTTTTAAAGAATACTTTTTTCATATTCAGGCGTGGAATTTTTTAAAGAATATTTTGTTCATATTCAGGGGTGGAATTTTTTAAAGAATATTTTTTCCACATTCAGGCGTGGCATTTTTTAAAGAATATTTTTTTTTATATACAGGAGTGGAATTTTTTAAAGAATATTTTTTTCATAATCAGGCGTGGAATTTTTTAAAGTATTTTTTTTTCATATTCAGGCGTGGAATTTTTTAAAGAATATTTTTTTCATATTCAGGCGTGGAATTTTTTAAAGAATATTTTTTTCATATTCAGGCGTGGAATTTTTTAAAAAATATTTGTTTTCATATTCAGGCGTGGAATTTTTCAAAGAATATTTTTTTATATTCAGGAGTGGAATTTTTTAAAGAATATTTTTTTCATATTCAGGCGTGGGATTTTTTAAAGAATATTTTTTTTCATTTTCAGGCGTGGAATTTTTTAAAGAATATTTTTCCAGGACTAACAGAAGTGGGGGATTTTTTAAAGAATTTTTTTTTCATATTTTTTAAAGAATATTTTTTTCATATTCAGTGTGCTAAAAAATATTCTTTAAAAAAAAATATTTTTCAGCACACATTAAAGCGTGGAATTTTTTAAAGAATATTTTTTTGATATTCAGTGTGCTAAACAAATATTCCTTTTTAAAGAATATTTTTTTCAGCACACATTCAGGCGTGGAATTTTTAAAATAATTATTTTTATACCCTTCATATGTTTGTATCAGGCAAAAGGAAACGAGATAGACACATAGTTCCTTTTGAGAAAATGCATAGAATCACTTTTAAGTCGGTTTATGCATGTCTGTACGTCCGTCTGTCTGTCCATGATAAATTGTAAACAAAGTACATGTCGCATTTTTGATTCGAATTGGGTGAAATTTGACATAGGTCACTTATTTGGCCCAATTCCGATTTAAGGTAAATGGTGTACCAAGGTCCCTAAATATCTTTTGATTTGCACGAAATTAGGCATAGCGTACTGAATTAAGTCTAGAATGATGTGTGCAAAGTTTCGTAAAAATCGGTTTAGATTTATATATAGCTCCCATATATAGTTTCGTCCGATTTAAGGTAAATGGTGCATCAAAGTCCCTATATATTTTCGATTTGCTCGAAATTTCGCACAGCGTAATGAATTAGGTCTAGAATGATGTGTGTTAAGTTTCCTGAAAATCGGTTGAGATTTAGATATAGCTCCCATATACATTTTTATCCGATTTAATGTAAATGGTGCACCAAAGTCCCTATATATCGTTCGACTTTCACGAAATTTAGCACCGAGTACTGAATTAAGTCCAGAAAGATGTGTGTTAAATTTCGTAAAAATCGGTTCAGATTTAGATATAGCTCCCATATATATTTTCGTCCGATTTAAGGTAAATGGTGTACCAAAAGTCTTTGATATGTTTCGATTTGCACGAAATTTGGCACAACGCAATGAATTAGGTTTAGAATGATGTGTGTTAAGTTTCCTGAAAATCGGTTCAGATTTAGATATAGATCCCATATATATTTTCGTCCGATATAAGGTAAATGGTGCACCAAAGTCCCTATATATCTTTCGATTTGCTCGAATGATGTGTATTAAATTTCCTGAAAATCGGCTCAGATTTAGACATAGCTCCTATATACATATTCTTCCGATTTTATGTAAATTGTGCACTAATCGGACCCCAAGTTTTACGGATTGCCACACAATTTTGTACAATTAATCAAATATCTACAAAAAATGCCAAATCACGACAAACTTCTTTAATTCATAACAATCGCCAATATTGTCCATATGTTAACCTCATGTGGCCAGTTAATTCTCAAAGAGCCAGAAAAACCTTATAAATGCTTGTCAAAACGTTCGAGGTCCAAAAACAGACCATCCATCATTTGGAAAAGTACTTGAAATTAATTTAAACATTCCTCCAAAAAGTAATATCTTTATCACTCATTCATCCATCCATTTGGGGGAAGACATGCCAATATCTATCTACCTATAAACATACACATATTTCTATATGTATGACACTATGTATGTTGTTCTGTCATGAAGTTAAGTGATAACAACATTCGATTAATTAACACAAAAGTACATCAATGTGACAATATGTATTTCCAGACCATTTGAAGTGTTTCAGAAATGTTTAAAGACCCCAAAAGAGGTTTGTACTATTATAAGGGAAAGCACAACGGAATTCACCCTTGCCTTTAATGGAAAAACATTTCCTCTAATGATTGCTATCTTTAAAAATAGACTTCTTTCTACCCACATTCCATATTTTCTTATGTCAAGCGGACAGTTTCTTCTTATTCTCTATTTTTTTTCTTTTGTGTTCATCTTATTTTTTCCCGCCATCTGTTTAAGATCCTTTAAGAATCCAACCATAAACGGGGCAATAACAAAAGCCATAACAATAATATGTTGGTTGGTCTTCAATGTTGGCAAGCTGAGCTGCTGAAGAAAAAAAACGAACGAACGAAACATAATTTCCTTTAATGTGTCACCATCTGAATGAAGCAACAGGCAAGCATTCAGCTATCCAGCCTGTTGGCCAACCTGCCAGTCAGTCAATAGCAAGAAAAAGAGACAAGTTTTTAACATTTCCATTTCCTTTTTGTCACTCGGCAATAAGAGAATGGACCAACCCAAACTTCACCTCCGCTTTAACAGAAAATACACAACCATATAAACGTTTATATGTGATCCCGATAATAGGTAGCATACATACCTTCTAACATCCCCCCATCCCACCCAATTCACTGTCATTCAACAGCAGCAACAACAACAACAACACGACTTTATGACACACACACACAAATCATTTAAGTCATTTACGAGACAATGTACGATTATGGATGTTCGTTCGTCTTTTAAGTGTAGTCTTTGGAATGGGCTGTCACTTGTCAGCTTACTGGTATCCTTCCTACACTCACTTAACAATTCACATATCCTTTTTATATTTCCGGAAATAAAAGAGAGAGATAAGTATTTTTCTGGACTGTGGTTTGGTGGGCAAGGAATTTTTAAAGAAATTTTTTTTCAAGCTAATATATTGTCTTGGATTTTTTTAAAACATATTTTGTCATCAGCATAAATATGCGTGGATTTGTATACCCTTCACCACACTGTAGTACAGGGTATTATGGCTTTTAGCATATGTTTGTAACAGGCAAGAGGAAATGAGATAGACACATGGTTCCTTTTGAGAATATGCATAGAATCACTTTCTGAGTCGATGTATGCATGTCCGTCCGTCTATCCGTCTGTAGATGTTGAATTGTAAACAAAGTACAGGTCGCATTTATGATCCGATTTGGATGAAATTTGGCACAGCTCACTTATTTGGCCCAAGGACCGAAGCTCCCATATATATTTTCGTCCGATTTAAGGTGAATGGGGCACCAAAGTCCCTACATATCTTTCAATTTGCAGGAAATTTGGCGAAATTTGAAAATCGGTTCAGATTTAGATATAGCTCCCATATATATTTTCGTCCGAATTAATGTAAATGATGCACCAAAGTCCCTATATATCTTTCGATTTGCTCGAAATTTGGCACAGCGTAATAAAATAGGTCTAGAATGATGTGTGTTATGTTTCCTGAAAATCGGTTCAGATTTGGTTATAGCTCCCGTCCAATTTAATGTAAATGATGCACCAAAGTCCCTATATATCTTTCGATTTGCTCGAAATTTGGCATGGCGTACTAAATTAAGTCTAGAATGATGTGTGTTAAATTTCGTGAAAATCGGTTCAGATTTAGATATAACTCCCATATACATTTTCATCCGATTTAATGTAAAATGGGGCACCAAAGACCTTACATATCTTTCGTTTTGCACGAAATTTAGCACAGGGTACTGAGGTCCAGAATTATGTGTGCTAAGTCTCTTGAAAATCGGTTCAGATTTCGGTTTAAATTTAGTAAAAATCGGTTCAGATTTAGATATAGTTCCCAAATATATTTTCTTCCGATTTTAGGTAAATGGGTTACCAAAGTCCCTGCATATCTTTCGATTTGCACAAAATTTGGCAAAGCGTACTGAATTAGGTCCAGAATGATGTGTGCTAAGTTTCTTGAAAATCGGTTTAGATTTAGATATAGCTCCCATATATCGTTTTGTCCGATTTTGTGTAAATGGTGCACCAAAGTCCCTATATATCTTTCGATATGCGCGAAATTTTGCATGGTGTACTCAATTGAGTTTAGAATGACGTGTGCCAAATTTCGAGAAAATTGGGTCAGTTTTATATATAGCTCCCATATATATTTTCGTCCAATTTAAGGTAAATGGGCCTCCAAAGTCCCTATATATCTTTTGATTTGCACCAATTTTGGCATGGGGTACTGAATTAGGTCCAGAATGATGTGTGCTAAGTTTCGTGAAAATCGGTTCAGATTTCGTTTTAGTTCCCATATATATTTTCTTCCGATTTAAGGTAAATGGGGTACCAAAGGCCCTGCATATCTTTCGATTTGCACGAAATTTAGCACAGGGTACTGAATTAAGGCTAGAATGATGTGTGTTAAATTTAGTAAAAATCGGTTCAGATTTAGATATAGCCCCCATATATATTTTCGTTCGATTTAAGGTAAGGGTTACCAAAGTCCCTGCATATCATTCGATTTGCACAAAATTTGGCAGAGCGTACTGAATTGGATACAGAATGATATGTGCTAAGTTTCGAGAAAATCGGTTCAGATTTAGATATAGCTCCCATATATCGTTTTGTCCGATTTAATGTAAATGGAGTAACAATGTCCCTATATATCTTTCGATTTGCACGAAATTTGGCACAGCGTAATGAATTAGATCTAGAATGATGTGTGTTAAATTTCCTGAAATCGGTTCAGATTTAGATATAGCTTCTATATCTGACCAAATGAAAAAATTAGTATCGGTTGCAGAATGGCATGTATTTGGATCCAATTTCATTTTACTGGTCCTTTAAAAATGCGACGTCTGTTAGGATTCATCTGTTGAATATACCCAAAGTGGTAAAGGGTATCATATAGTCGGCCCGTCCGACTTTACTTTTTTCCTTACTGGTTTAAATAATATTTTTTATTTCATCGAAGTTCGAAGTTTTGCAATGTAAGGAAAGCCAGGGGAAGAACCTACCTACCTACCCATTAATCTTCAAAATTACAATAACAAGTTCTATCAATTCTTAGAACCACCGATTATGTCTTCATTAGTGGTCTATTATAATTTTAATAATAATTATTGTTAATTTATGCAATCTCTAAGTTAGTTTTGAATTCCAAAATTATCTTAAGCGCAAAATCATCTATATAAATTTCACTAAAATATGCATATATTTAAATTAAATTCGAATTGCCAGATCGATGTTACTTAAATTGGGGATTTGCGTGTCCCAACTCTTCCATTGTCAATGTTATAAAAATTACTCAACATTATTTAGAAGCTGTAACATTAAATCCATTTTAACACCTCTCAAATTCACATAAATGTTACAATGACATTTTTTTTTTATTATTTTTTTATGAACATGTGACAAATTTTATTAAACAAAAAATATGTTTGCAAATAATTCCAGTTGACATGAACATTTTGTGCAGCGAATTGTATTTTCGTGTTTTCACTGTCACCCTGGCAAAAACAAAAATGTCTTCACAATCTCTGCACAAATACTCATCCGATTTAAGTAGAGGACTTTGTATTTATTTTTTTTACACTTCGTACATAAATTATGACAGGTTGTATATATAACTGTGTGTGTATGTGATATGTGTATGCAACATGCTCCCTTTCATGATGTGGTGACATAAAATAATCATCAAAATTATTTAACTGATGAAAGGTAACAAGGAAGTGGATGTTCGTATGTTCGCATAAAAAACAGCTCAGTGACTGATTAAAATAAATGTTCTTGAGATTTTTTTTATAAACCTCTTACAACCATTAATGGGGCGGAGGGAGTATTGAAATGCTGATTTATTATGGAAGATGAAGAGAAAATGTTGAAAATTGTTCATAGCCTAAGGAAGCGGAATTATATAAAAGTTTAAACGTAAAGTCTATCTCAGTGTCTATGAACCATTTGTGGTTCCGCAGTTTTTTTTTTCATTTACCTCAATATTTAAATCTCTTCAAAAATTTATAATTTTTTCAAAATTCCCCAACTTCTCTTTTTCTTACAGAATTCATATCAGATAAAGATGACATCTGTTTGACAGAAGAATGTGTGAGAACGGGTAAGTTGCAATGTCCACAAAATGTGTTCTCTACATGCTGACATATTTTTTTCTTATTATTTTTTAGCGGCCTACTTATTGTCAGCCATGGATACCAGTGCGAATCCATGTGAGAATTTTTTTCAATATGCCTGCGGAACATGGAATAAAATTCATATAATACCAGAAGATCGAAGTTCTATAAGCACTTTTGAGGTAAGTAATAGGCGTGGATTTTTGTAGAATATTTTTTTAAGCAAATAGGCATGGATTTTTGAAGAATTTTTTTTAAGCAAATAGGCGTGGATTTTTGAGGAATATTTTTTAAGCAAATAGGCGTGGATTTTTGAAGAATATTTTTAGGCATAACCTGCGTGGATTTTTGAAGAATATTTTTAGGCATAACCTGCGTGGATTTTTGAAGAATATTTTTTTAAGCAAATAGGCGTGGATTTTTAAAGAACATTTTTTCAAGCAAAAATAGGCGTGGATTTTTGAAGAACATTTTTTTAAACAAAAATAGGCGTGGATTATTGAAAAATATTTTTTTAAGCAAAAATAGGCGTGGATTTTTGAAAAATATTTTTTTAAGCAAAATAGACATGAATTTTTGAAAAATATTTTTTTAAGCAAAATAGACATGAATTTTTGAAAAATATTTTTTAAGCAAAAATAGGCGTGGATTTTTAAAGAATTTTTTTAAAGCAAAAATAGGCGTGGATTTTTGAAGAATATTTTTTCAATCACCATCAGAGCCCTAGGCGTGGATTTTTGAAGAATATTTTTAAGCAAAAAATAGGCGTGGATTTTTGAAGATATTTTTTAAGCAAAAAAAGGCGTGGATTTTTGAAGATATTTTTTTAAGCAAAAATAGGCGTGGATTTTGGAAGAATATTTTTTTAAGCAAAAATAGGCGTGGGTATTGAATTATGAATATTATTCATGTGGATTCATAGGCGTCTGTCCGTCTGTTGGTGTTTAATTGTAAACAAAGTACAGGGCACATTTATAATCCGATTTGGATGAAATTTGGTACAGCTCATTTGTTTGGCCCAAGAATGAACCCTATAAATTGGGGAAAATCGGTTCAGATTTAGATATAGATCTCAAAAATATTTTCGTCCGAATTTATGTAAATGGTGCACTAAAGTCCTTATATATATTTTAATTTGAACGAAATTTAGCACAGCGCACTTAATTGAGCCTACAATGATGTCTGCCAAGTTTCGTGAAAATGGGTTCAGATTTTGGATTTAGATTTAGCTCCCATATATATTTTCGTCCGATTTAAGGAAAATGGTGTACCAAAGCCTCCATATATCTTTCGATTTCAACGTAATATGGTACAGGGTACTGAATAAAGCCTACAATGATGTGTGTTAAGTTTCGTGAAAATTGGTTCAGATTTAGATATAGCTCCCATATATATGTTCGTCCGATTTTATGGAAATTGTGCACCAATGTCCTTATATATCGTTCGATTTGCACGAAATTTGGCACAGCGCACTTAATTGAGTCTAGCTTTCATTATACCCTTCACCACACTGTGGTACAGGGTATTATGTCTTTGTGCATATGTTTGTAACAGGCAAAAATAATCGAGATAGACCCATGGTTCCTTTTGAGAATATGTATAGAATCACTTTCTGAGTCGATTTATGCATGTCCGTCCGTCCGTCTGTCCGTCTGTTGATGTTAAATTGTAAACAAAGTACAGGTCGCATTTATGATCCGAATTGGATGAAATTTGGCACAGCTCATTTGTTTGGCCCAAGGACGAACCCTATTGAAATTGGGAAAAATCGGTTCAGATTTAGATATAGCTCCCATATATATTTTCGCCCGATTTAATGTAAACGGTCCCTATATATCTTTCGATTTGCACGAAAATTGGCACAGCGTAATGAATTAGGTCTAGAATGATGTGTGTAAAATTTCATAAAAATCGGTTCAGATTTAGATATAGCTCCCATATATATCTTCGTCGGATTTAAGGTAAATTGTGTAATAAAATCCCTATATATCTTTCGACTTGCACGAAATTTGGCACAGCGTAATGAATAACGTCTAGAATGATGTATGCCAAGTTTCGTGAAAATCGGTTCAGATTTAGATATAGCTCCCATATATATCTTCGTCGGATTTAAGGTAAATTGTGTAATAAAATCCCTATATATCTTTCGACTTGCACGAAATTTGGCACAGCGTAATGAATAACGTCTAGAATGATGTATGCCAAGTTTCGTGAAAATCGGTTCAGATTTAGATATAGCTCCCATATATATCTTCGTCCGATTTAAGGTAAATTGTGTAATAAAATCCCTATATATCTTTCGATTTGCACGAAATTTGGCACAGCGTAATGAATAAGGTCTAGAATGATGTATGCCAAGTTTCGTGAAAATCGGTTCAGATGTAGATATAGCTCCCATATATATCTTCGTCCGATTTAAGGTAAATTGTGTGCCAAAGCTCCTATATATCTTTCGATTTGCACGAAATTTGGCACAGCGTAATGAATAAGGTCTAGAATGATGTATGCCAAGTTTCGTGAAAATCGTTTCAGATTTAGATATAGCTCCCATATATATCTTCGTCCGATTTAAGGTAAATTGTGTACCAAAGTCCCTATATATCTTTCGATTGGCACGAAATTTGGCACAGCGTAATGAATAAGGTCTAGAATGATGTATGGCAAGTTTCATGAAAATCGGTTTCGATTTAGAGATAGCTCCCATATATTTCTTCGTCCGATTTAAGGTGTACAAATTGTGTACAAAAGTCCCTATATATCTTTCGATTTGCACGAAATTTGGCATAGCGTACTAAATTAAGTTTAGAATGATGTGTGCAAAGTTTCGTGGCGATCGGTACAAATTTAGATTTAGCTCCCATATATATTTTCATCCGATTTAAGGTAATTTGTGTAACAAAGACCCTATATATCTTTCGATTTGCACGAAATTGGCCATAGCGTACTGGCATTTGGGTCTATAATAATTTGTGCTAAGTTTCATGAAAATCGGTTCAGATTTAGATATAACTCCCATATATATACAAATTGTGTACAAAAGTCCCTATATATCTTTCGATTTGCACGAATTTTGGTATAGGGTACGTTGGTCAGCTAAGTACTTCGCTTTGTTACAAGAGACATTTGGGTTTGAAAGGTTTTTTTGTATAGAAGCAATAGCTTCTGGGGAGAATATCCCAACAAAAAACTAAGGGAACTGATGAGGAACAGTGGCGTGATCCGAAACTATAGTCTTCCCTGCCTTTCCCCTCGGCAATCAATGCCATACATTCCCCACTAATAAATAGTTGTTTTTTTATAAAAACAAAATACAAATGGTATCCCAAATAAACCGCCAACACTACTGAAGTAATGAATTAAGTCTAAAATGATGTTGCTAAGCTGCGTGAAAAGATCCATAGCAAGGCCGAATGGCACAACGTACTGAAGTAATATAAATTAGTCTCTGGCAATTTTCCCTGAAATCGGTTCAGATATAGATATATAACAAAAACGCGTCGCCTGTTGGGATACATATGTAGAATATACCCAAAGTGGTGAAGGGTATCATATAGTCCGCCCAGCCCGACTTTACTACTTTCCTTACTGGTATATATTTTCACCCGATTTAATGTAAATGGTGCACCAAAGCCCCTATAAATTTTCCGATTGGCAAAACGTATTGAATTAAGTCTAGAATGATGCGTGTTAAGTTTTGGAAAAATCTAAAGGTGATTTGTCTGTTCTATCTACGGGATATTGTATATATTAGCGCCTCTTGTATGTATCCATAGTGGTTAAGGGTATCATATACTCGAACCCGTCCGACTTTTGGCCTGGATTTATATACAAAATAATTTTTTCAGGTAATCATAGGCTTGGATATATTTTAAAAATATTTTTCAAATAACCATAGGCATCGATTTATTTAAAAACAATTTTTGAAATAACCATAGGCATAGATTTATTTAAAAAATATATTTTTCAAATGACCATAGACGTGGATTTATTTAAAAACCATAGGCATAGATTTATTGAAAAACTATTTTTGAAATAACCGTAGACGTAGAGTTATTTTAAAATATGTTTCAAATAACCAAAGGCGTGGATTTATTTATTTGAAGTATACAAAATATTTAAAAATATTTATTAAGTAAAATTTTGAAATCTATTAACATTATTTTCAGGTTCTGGCAGATCAACAACAGGTCATACTCAAAGGAGTTCTCGAAGAACCCATCAATGCTCTGGATAATCAAGCAACGATAAAAGCAAAAATGTTCTACAATAGCTGTATCGATATACGTGAGTACAAATAGATCCCATAAATTTTTGCCGTTAATAAATAATATCCTCCCCCATTTAGCCCAAATACGCAAAGTGGGTACAGAACGTTTAAAAAATGTTCTCAAATCACTGGGCGGCTGGCCGGTTATAGAACCCAATTGGTCACCCCCCAACATTAGTATAGAAGAATTGATTGGTACATTGCGCGGTGCCTATGGTGAACCTGTCCTAATTGAATTGTATGTTGGGGCAGATGATAAAAATTCCTCCATACACATATTACAAATAGATCAATTCCCCCTGGCATTACCCTCCCGAGATTATTATCTGAAGGCAAGTAGTGAAAATGATTTGAAAGCGTATCATAAATATATGACCCAAACGGCCATATTAATGGGTGCCAATGCCACAACCGCCAAGGAGGAACTAAATGATGTCTTACAACTCGAGGTCCAGCTAGTTAATGCCACTCTACCGGAGGCGGATCGTCATGATACCAGTGCCATATATCGTAAAATCACCCTACCCGAATTACAAGCTGAAGTGCCACAAATAAATTGGACTTTGTTTCTGCAAACCGCTTTGGGTAATAATGTGCAGTTGAGGCCGGATGAACAGCTAGTTAGCTATGCCATGCCATATCTAATTGAAATGGGTAAAATTCTCGTGAAGACCGATACCCGAACTTTACACAATTATGTTATGTGGCGTTTGGTTATGTCCATAATGAATCACATGATCGATGATTATCAAAAGGAAAGAGTGGAGTTTCGAAAAATCCTATTGGGTATACAAACGGAAAGGGTACGATGGTCTCAGTGTGTCGATTGGACCAATAAGAAATTGGGTATGGCCGTGGGAGCGCTGTTTATTCGCGACAATTTCAATCAAAATAGTAAAGATACAGCCTTGGAAATGATTCACACCATCCGAGAGGCGTTCAATGAGCTGTTGGCCGAAAATCATTGGATGGATGATGAAACGCGGGCAGTGGCCAAAGAGAAGGCGGATACAATGAATGAACGAATTGGTTATCCGGAGATACTAACCGATGCCAAGGAATTGGAAAAGGAATTTGTAAATGTAAGTATCGAAATTAACTGTCCCGATTATTTGAGATGCTAAACTGTTTCCATATTTCCTTCCAATCTCCAGCTGACCATAGCGCCCGACAACTTTATGGATAATGTTTTAAGTATCTTGAAATGGGAATCCGAAAAGAATATGCAACTCCTACGACAGCCTGTTGACAAGGAAAAATGGACCACCGAACCAGCCGTGGTGAATGCATTCTACAATCCCAATAAAAATGATATTGGTAAGGGTATTTTGGAATAAATTCCCACTGAATATTTTTTAGAAACCATGGTATATTTTTTTCTTTGCAGTTTTCCCTGCTGGTATTTTACAACCTCTATTTTACAGTCAGCACTTCCCCAAATCACTAAATTATGGTGGTATTGGTGTGGTCATAGGACATGAAATAACGCATGGGTTCGATGATAAGGGTAAGGATGAGAGCAACTAGGATTATTTTAAAAATATATATTTAACCATAAGTAACCATAGGCGTGGATTTATTAAAAAAATATTTTTTAAGTAACCATAGGGGTGGATTTATAAAAAAAAAATATTTTTCAAGTAACCATAGACGTGGATTTATAAAAAAAATATTTTTTCAAGTAACCATAGACGTGGATTTATAAAAAATTTTTTTTTTTTCAAGTAACCATAGGATTTATTAGAAATATTTTTTCAAGTAACCATAGACGTGGATTTATAAAAAAATATTTTTTTTTCAAGTAACCATAGGCGTGGATTTATTAGAAATATTTTTTTAAGTAACCATAGGATTTATTAGAAACATTTTTTCAAGTAACCATAGGCGTGGATTTATTAGAAATATTTTTTCAAGTAACCATAGGCGTGGATTTATTAGAAATATTTTTTCAAGTAACCATAGGCGTGGATTTATTAGAAATATTTTTTCAAGTAACCATAGGCGTGGATTTATTAGAAATATTTTTTCAAGTAACCATAGGCGTGGATTTATTAGAAATATTTTTTCAAGTAACCATAGGCGTGGATTTATTAGAAATATTTTTTCAAGTAACCATAGGCGTGGATTTATTAGAAATATTTTTTCAAGTAACCATAGGCGTGGATTTATTAGAAATATTTTTTCAAGTAACCATAGGCGTGGATTTATTAGAAATAATTTTTTCCAGATGCCATAAGGCGTGGATTTATTAGAAATAATTTTTTCCAGATGCCATAAGGCGTGGATTTATTAGAAATAATTTTTTCCAGATGCCATAAGGCGTGGATTTATTAGAAATAATTTTCAAGGGCCAACTGAGGCGTGGATTTATTAAAGAATATTTTTCAAGGGCCAATGAGGCGTGGATTTATTAAAAATATTTTTCAAGGGCCAACTGAGGCGTGGATTTATTAAAGAATATTTTTCAAGGGCCAACTGAGGCGTGGATTTATTAAAGAATATTTTTCAAGGGCCAACTGAGGCGTGGATTTATTAAAGAATATTTTTCAAGGGCCAACTGAGGCGTGGATTTATTAAAGAATATTTTTCAAGGGCCAACTGAGGCGTGGATTTATTAAAGAATATTTTTCAAGGGCCAACTGAGGCGTGGATTTATTAAAGAATATTTTTCAAGGGCCAACTGAGGCGTGGATTTATTAAAGAATATTTTTCAAGGGCCAACTGAGGCGTGGATTTATTAAAGAATATTTTTCAAGGGCCAACTAGGCGTGGATTTATTAAAGAAGGCGTGGATTTATTAAAGAATATTTTTCAAGGGCCAACTGAGGCGTGGATTTATTAAAGAATATTTTTCAAGGGCCAACTGAGGCGTGGATTTATTAAAGAATATTTTTCAAGGGCCAACTGAGGCGTGGATTTATTAAAGAATATTTTTCAAGGGCCAACTGAGGCGTGGATTTATTAAAGAATATTTTTCAAGGGCCAACTGAGGCGTGGATTTATTAAAGAATATTTTTCAAGGGCCAACTGAGGCGTGGATTTATTAAAGAATATTTTTCAAGGGCCAACTGAGGCGTGGATTTATTAAAGAATATTTTTCAAGGGCCAACTGAGGCGTGGATTTATTAAATAAAATAAGTATAGAACGTTTATAAAGTCGATTTCCCCCCTCTAGGCCTATAAAAAATGGGTACAACGTCATGGTCCGGAACAACGATTGCCCGGCCTTAATCTAACACATGACCAATTGTTCTTCTTAAATTATGCTCAAATATGGTGTGGATCGATGCGTCCCGAAGATGCGCTAACCAAAATACGTTCCTCTGTACATTCGCCGGGTTCAATACGAGTATTGGGTCCGCTATCAAATTCCAAAGACTTTGCTGAAGCGTATCAATGTGAGCTGGGTTCACCAATGAATCCCGTGGAAAAGTGTAGTGTATGGTGAATGAAAGGCGTGAGAGATGACTAACCAAGAAAGGCTTTACATTACAATTTCAAAAATGCATTCATATGTACTCGTACTAAGAAGACTTCATCATCACAGAGAAAGAACAACAGACACACCACACACACATTTATATATTTATATAAATATATGTTTATGTATTGTGTATTAAAAAAATGAAATTAAATTAAAAACAAAATATTTTACGATGATCTTATAGTGAAAATCAAATCTAGCATCTACATACATATATACATATTTTTTCTGGAATATAACGAAGACCTAGCCTCCCAAGAAAAACCCGCCTACCAAACATACATAAATACACTTTAAGTCAATGTCATATCAATGAAACTCCCCCGAAAAAATCAAAACAAAAATTATAAGATACGCTATACGATTGTTGTTTGTTATCCCTAACGAAATGAAGCTGCAAATTTTTGTTTTTGATTACAAAATACAAAAATGAAAACTATATAGAACGAAAAATCTATAATTTAATTATAAATAAAATGTATACAGTTGTAGTACAATACAGAAAAAAAAAAAACAAAAACAAGAAAACCGAAAATAACTAAACTTACAGAAACACACACCCTACATATGTGTAAAATAAAGATCGTAAATACAAAACATACAAAAATATAAAATAAAGTGTTTTTATTATTTAGGTGGACATTTAAATATAAAAGCGGTAAGAAAAGTAGTAAAGTCGGACGGAGCCGACTATATGATACCCTTCAAAACTTTGGATATATTCAACAGATTAATCCTAACAGACGTCGCATTTTTGTGCAAAATTTGCCTAACTTTGGGTCTTTGGTTCACCATTTACCTTAAATCGGACGAAAATATATATGGGAGCCATATCTAAATCGGAACCGATTTTCACGGAACATAACACACATCATTCTAGACCTAATTCATTAAGCTGTGCCAAATTTTGTTCAAATTTGGTGCACCATTTACCTTAAATCGGACGAAAATATATACGGGAGCTATATCTAAATCTGAACCGATTTTTCCCAATTTCAATAGGGCTCGTCCTTGGGCCAAATAAGTGACCTATGCCAAATTTCATCCAATTCGGGTCATAAATGCGACCTTTACTTTGTTTACAATTTAACATGGACAGAAAAACGGGCGGACGGACATGTAAAACTCGACTTAGAAAGTAATTCAATGCATATTCTCAAAAGGAACCATGGGTCTATCTCGTTTCCTTTTTTCCTGTTACAAACATTTGCAGAAAGACAGAATACCCTGTGACACAGTGAGGTGAAAGGTATAACAAGGGGGTTGTAATTTTTGTTAGGGAGATTTGTTACCATATACGACTACAAAAAACAAAATTGCAAATTCGGTTTAAAAACGCGCTCAAGAATCCCAAAATATCGAAAATTGGAGGTTACCCTTAGGGCTACCGGAAAAAAAAATTACCACTATTTACAATTTCTTGCGGAGAGATTTGCTACCCAATAAGAACTCAAAGTATTAAATTACAGCCAATTCGGTAGAAAAATAGGATCAGAACCCGATCTGGTACATCTGGTAGATCTGGTAGACAGATCTGTTACCCTATACGACTACAAAATACCAAATTGCAGTAAATTCGGTTGAAAAACGCGCTCAAGAACCCTAAAATACCGGATAATCCCCATACTCTTATATGGGGATTATCCGAAAAAATTTACCTATATTTATAATTTTTAGTGGGAAAATTTGGTACCCAATAAGAACTCAATGTACCAAATTTCAGCAAATTGAATTTAAAAACGCGCTCATGAATCCCAAAAAACCGAAAATTGGGGTGTACCCTTATATGGGAGCTATGCCTAAACGTGTACCGATATAGCCCATGTTCGACCTTGACCTGCCTGCAGACCAATGACGACTCTGTGCAAAATTTTGGCGATATATCTCAATTCGTTTAGACGCTAGAGTGATTACAACAGACGGACATGGGTAAATCCTGATAGAATTTTACGCTGATCATGAATATATATATTTTATAGGGTCGGAAATGATTATTTAGATGAGTTACAAACGAAAAAAAAATTAATATACCCTCCGTACTATGGTGGAGGGTATAATAAAATATATATGTATGGTGGTTTATACCATGGTACATTTTTGTAGGCAGATTTGGAACCCAAATGTAAAACGTGGACCGATATATCGCATTTTTAATACCAAATATCCGAAAAGTATTAACAATGTTTATTACAATTTTTAAAACTCGATATTAAATATAGCGAGCACTATCGCGATTTCAACATACAGGCGAACATGGTCTATTGTAAATATTTCGAGGTATTGTGGGATCATAATTTTAATATACACATAATTTGTTAGTGTTGTTCTTACAAAGACTATCTGTCAATACGCCTACAAAATCGAATATAATATAATACCGAATATTTCAAGTATATGCAAATATATAATAGTTAATAATCCAACTCAAAGCTTGACTAATCGCCATAAAAACGCCTTCAAATACATATATATTTCAATATATATTCACAAATAAAATTCAATAATAGTCTTTGATGAACACACACCAAAAAAGCAATAGCCAAACAACCGTAAACAGTTTAAATAAAATCTAGATAAACCTGTTTCAACTGCAAATATTTTCCAAATATTCTTTTTATTCGAATATATGTATGTGTATATATTTTGGTATGATTATAAATAAAAAATACGTTGAGCATTTGTTTTAGAAGACATGTGTAAATAAGTATAAACGTTTTCTTATAACATAAAATATGTATCGTTTGAAATTATTTTTTTTAATTTAATAATTCTATTCTACAAAACATTCATTCAGTTTGTTTAAATCGTTATATACATTCGATAAAGTTGATATAGTCGATAAAGTAATTTCTAAAATCTTTGAGCTGGTTAAAAAACATGAGTGAGCACTTTTGGAAAATATCTAGGGCAAGACGTCACATGGGCATTTATAGTTAAGCAAATAAAGGGTTTAATTAAAAATTAACAACAAAATTTTTGCCAACAACATTTATAATACTTTATGGACATTTTAAGATTGATTAATTGTTTACAAAAATTTAACGAAGGGTTTGTCTTTATCATGTTTTAGTTTTTTTTTTAATAAATTCCTTGTTTAACAAAATTATAAAGAGCTTTTGTTTGTCTTTGTCATGTTTTGGTTTTGTTTTAATAAATTCCTTGGTTAACATATATTTTTTTGTATACTTTAGTACCTCATACAGGTGGTATTCTTATTTTTCAGTTTTTCTATTTTTTTCAATTAAAATGTTTCAATAGTTAAGAGCAAACTAAAACAAAATTTACAATTAAATATTTGATTTGAAAACAAATTCGTTTCATATTAACACTGTTAATACGAGAGGTAAATTGTATCACACATAAATTGTTTCTTTTTTTTTACAATAGGTACATTAGGAATATATGTTATACAACAACAAAAATCAAAAAACGAACGGCTTGGAGCACCGAGATATCTTAATTTTCCATATATTGTTTTCTTTTAAATTACGTTGTAATTTCATTGTCGTCATTTACTTCTCTTCGATTTCGTCGTCTTGGTGATCTTTCATGATTGTTTTCGATTTGCTGATTTTCTGGTCGTGACCAACTTTGCTCATCCGCACTAGCAAATATTAGATATATCAAGTTGCCGGCAATATTTAAACCCCCAGCCAACCAGAATACCTTACGCCACTGTAGCATGGTCTCATTGTGATTGATAATCAGACCAATCACATAGGGTGCGAGGAATCCACAAATATTGGCAGCTGAATTAGTTATACCATACATTGTTCCGGCATATGATGGACTTAGGGAAATGTGATTCATTTGATTGCCGGGATAAATGGCCCCGGCAAAGGATCCCACACCAGCCAACATAAATGTTACCCATTGCCAACTGCAACCAACATAGCCAACACCAATCATACCCAATGAGGGTATTATCGAGGCAATGGAATTCCAAAATTTATAGGAATTCAAAGTGCTAATATAACGACGTTCTAACATCCAATCGGCCACAGCTGAACAGCCAATACCCACCAACCATGAGGTGAGATAGGGTACACTATTTAATACAGCATTCGATTGTATTTCGAAATGTAAAATATTATTCATATATGTAGGCAATTCGGTAAGTTGGGTGTAAAAAGCCCAACTTTGACCACACTGGGTAATTAAAATAGCCCACAGCGGTACTGAAGTCATAATGGAACGCCATGGTATGCTAGGTGTTGCTGTTGTTGTTCTTGTATTGGAAGACATATATATTTGGTAATTATCATCGTCATCATCATTACA